TGCTGAATACCTCGTCGCTCCATAAATGCCTCGAATTGCTTTGAGGTGAAAGCCGTGCCACGGTCTGACGTGACGCGCAAGGGTTGTCCGAAGATCGACATCATCTCTTCCATCGCTTTGATGACGGGCTGACTCTTGGTGTTCCTGGCTGCTTTCAGCATCACATACTTACTAAACCCGCAAACCATAACCAGGATGTAAACATTTCCAGTTTTACTTCTGGGAAACGGACCCACATGGTCGATGTAAATATGCCTGAATGGAATCGGCAAGACGCTTGCCACATGTAATTGACTCTCCTTTTTACCTCCCTTCACCTTATTTAGACAGCACTCCTCACAGGCTCCGATGTATGATTTCACGTAACGGCGCATTCTTGGGAACCAAAAGTGTGTTCTCAAGCGTTCTAGAGTTTTCTCCAACGCGAAGTGTCCTGCATCGTCGTGACTTGCTTTTGTCACTCGCCATGTGACTCCTTGGGGTACAACAAGTTTGTATTGTCCATCAATCGTCCGGAAGAGTCGCTTATTCCTTAGCTCGTAGTCCGCTTTAACCTGCTTCATCACATCGTTATCTACAGCTTCTTCCCCATTAAGGATCGCACACAGTCGTCTGATTTTCTCGTCTTTACGTTGTATGGTTGTCACCCAGTCCTCGGGCTCCATGACCTTACTGACAGCTAGAACCTTGTCTGCAACTGTATCCGGCTGTACTGGTGATTCGACTGGTAGTCTGCTCATGGCATCAACGTGCTGCATGTTGACACCCGGTCGGTGTTCGCATGAGAAATCAAACTCCTGCAAGCGTAGCCACCATCTTGCTATTCGTGGTCGCAGTGGCGTGACCTTCTTCGTTGTAACTACGGCGTTACAATCGGTTCGTACACAAACGTCGTGCCCAGAAGGTAGACCCTGAACCTTTCCAGTGACTCCACAATTGCCAGTACCTCCAATTCATGGCTTGCATATCGTGATTCGGCTGAGCTGCACTGCCGACTGTAGTACTGCGCCGGCTTCCAACCTTCCTTCTCGAGCTGTAGCAAGACTCCTGATATTCCCACCGAACTTGCATCGGTGTGTACCTCATGCTGCTTCGCTGGATCGAACATGACCAGAACTGGTTGCGTAGTTAAAACTTCCTTTAATCTTGCGAACGATTGTTCTTGATCTTCCGACCACTCGAACTTTGCGTTTTTTCTTCAACAATGTGGCCAGTGGCTTGGCTATGAGACCGTAGCCTTCGACGAATTTCCGGAAGTATCCGGTTAACCCCAGGAACTGCCTTACTTCGGTCGTTGATCGTGGTCGTGGAAAGTCTCTGATGCTTTTTGTTTTCCCTTCCCCGGGCTGCACACCATCTGCACTCACGATATGTCCCAAGAACTGGATCCTAGTTGCCAGAAAGTTGCATTTCGACGGCCGTAATGTAAGACCGGATTCTTTGACCGCTTGCAAAAAACTCGGACACCACCTGAATGTTTTGTTCCACCGTCTTCGTTGCGATTATGACTTCGTCTACATAGCTCACAATCTTATCGCGATGCTTTAAACCTCTTATCATCTTTGTAATCATTTCTTGGAACACCATTGGAGCGTTGCGTAGGCCAAATGGCATCACATTATGCTCAAATAAGCCCTCTGGTGTCAAGAACGCTGTGTATGGCTTGCTTTCTTCCTTCACCGGAATCTGGTAGTATCCTGCTGTCATGTCCAGCGTAGTGAAGACCATGTTTCCTACCAGTTTTGCTAGTTGTTCTTCAACAATAGGCATAGGGAAGTGTTTCTTCAGCGTTACCGCGTTGAGAGCACGGTAATCCACACACATCCTATCTTCTCCGTTGGACTTCTTCACGATAATAACGGGTGCCGCGTGTGGTGATGAACTTGGTCTAATAATGCCATTATCCAGTAGATCGCTGATAATCTTTGCTAGTACTGGACGTTGATAAAGCGGAACCTGGTATTGCCTTCCCATTACCGGTTGGTCTGTGGTCACGAGGATCTCCATCTGCGTTGTCTTACATCGTCCTAGTTCAGTCAAACTCTCCGAGAAGCAACTACCGTATTGCTGTAGCATGGTTCTCATCCCTTGACTGTCTGCTTCGTCCAGATCTTCGTTGATTATGAAAGGTATTTCACTTCGCTGATGCACTTGCATTACGCCTGACTCGATGGTTAATCTACAATTTCCTTTGCATAGTACATCTCTACCAATAACTATATCATAATGCATAACCTCATCTGGGACGATATGACACGGGGTCCATATCGTAGCTCCATCGACGACTAACTCTGCATCGACGACCGCTGTGCTGGCTATGACTGCCCCGCCAAAGCCTTCGAGTTGCTTGATAGAAGATGTCCGTGTCGCCTCTTCAGGAACTTTTGATGCTGCGATAAGCGAAACATCACTACCAGTGTCGATAAACCCTCTAAACGTCTTGCCGTTCAATACAACATCTTTACTGGCTGCATTGGTTTTTTGCTTGGAGTCCTCCACTATGTTTGCGACCGTTGGTCTTTCACTTCGGCATGCTTGAGCTTCATGCCCCATCTTATTGCACTTGCTGCATTTGGGCTTCCGTTGCGGTTGTTGGCATTTTGCCGCGATATGCCCATATTGGTTACAGTTGAAGCACTTCATTGGCTGCCTATCCATCGTCGCTCTTGAACCTGTCTCGCTGGTATTCTTTTCGTCACTTGAGCTTACCCTCGGCTGCGTCGGACCGACGATCATACCCTTCAGTGAGCGGAGTAAGTCATTGCATGTTGGTAACTTAAGGGCTAGTAGTGTGCGTGATAACATTGCATCGTTCAAGCCTGATATGATGTATGCATTAATTGACTCCTCGTCCATCTTACCACGTCGACCCATACTCAACATCACATAATAGTATTCTTCAAATGTTTCACGCGATTGTCGTTTCCGTTGTGACATATTGCGGTGCACCTGTGCTGACGTTATTGATGCTGGGAAATCATGCTCAAACGCTTGAACAAAATCCAACCACGATTGGAAAACCTCTTGCGAATCTAGCCATTCCTTGGCGACACCTTTTAGCTTAGATTGCGCTGCTACTAGAGTCTCTTGCTCTGTCAACTCGTATGCCCGGCGTAACTGTGTTACCTTTTCGATGAACACTTCACTGCTTAAGTTATTCTTCAACGGATCGTACTCCGGCATGAGAGCATAAATTTCGCGTCGGCTATTAGGTCGAATCTGCAACGTTTGGGTTGTTCCTGCTGTTATTGTTGGCACTCCGTCTCCATTCGCTGGAGTTGGTAGACATGTGGTCGGTTGTTGCACTTCGCTTGTTGTCTCTGCACCTACATTTCTGCGGGACGTTACTAGTTCACCCACAGTCCTCGTTAAATCTAGAATAGCCCCACGTAGTTCTTCTATCTGTTGTTGGGCACTTGCTGCCTCACCATCGACTTCCAATTCTTCCACGTCGACTTCGTCTCCATCGTAAATTTCAGCCAGCTTTGCCAGTTTGTGCGCCTTATTGCCGACAGCGCGAATATTCTGGCTTTACAACAATTTATTTAATTGCTCCACTTTAAGTGAGTTTAACTTTACTTTATTCATCTTCTCTTGAAACTCCGTAACCATGAGGACCTGTCCTCTTACCTCTGTTCAACCTTCTTTTTTTCTCCCTCGAAAACGTCCGTTCGATTCAAAATGCTTCGCGAATCTTCTTTTCTTCGCTCTGCTTTCTGCCCCTTCTCTACTTCTTTCCTTTTCTTCAACCAATCTATTTGTGTTGACAACTTTGCACTGCCTCCCTGCTACAACTTCAGTAACGACTGCCGTATCGACTTGCGTATGCCGCAACTTTGTTTGCTTTGTTCTTCTTTGAACTAGTGGCAACTCCGTGTCGATATTATACGTTTATCGGCACTTACCCTTTCCTTCGTTCTTCTCTGCAACTTGAGCGATTCACCTTCTACTTTGTTGATGCAACGTTTCTTGGAATTCTCTTTCCCCTTGTTTCACATTCAACGGCCGTTTTTCCTTCCCGTCTCTCCTGCAACTTCTTATGCAGACTTTTGTAGGCTGTGAGAAACAATCTCACTTCTGAGGTGTAAAGGCCAGAACACCAAGTGGTTGATTCACAACGAATAAATGCCAGTTTATTGAAATTAACAAATATGTTTAGTCGAATGGAAACAATAAAATAGAATAATGAATGTTTAAATTATGTAAAGTAAAAGATCTTATTTCAGTGTACGCCTTGCTCTCGTACGTGTGTCCTCGTTCTCTGCTCGTTTAACACTGTCCTCGTTTACCGACTGTGACAATAGTGAAACCTTTTTAGGTGAGTTATAAGTTTCCCAAAGTGTCACAGTTTTGGTGTGTTGACCCTTTAGGTAATCGTTTCAAAAGTTCTTCGATTAGGGTGATTAAACATTTTTGACAGTCTTTTAATGTGCTTCTTAAGTCAAGTTTATCACGTAGTTCATTAACCTCTTCCGTAAAATTATCGTAGAAAACTAAGTTTTTTATATTTTTATGATTGGGAAAAATTTATTTGAAGAGGAAAAATCGCCAATGGCGATTTCCTAAATTTTTACGCGCAAGTATCAAAAAAAATCGCCAAATTGGCGCAGAATCGCCAAATCTGGACACGATTATGAAAACTAAGACAATACGTTAATAAATACAATGACGAACCCGAAAAAATATAATCCCAATAATAGGAAAAACAGGCGTTATTAACCCATTACTGCATAAAGTTTGTCGGGCTGCTTGTAATCCGCCGTATTGAAAAATGTAAACCTCTAAACACAATATATTTGATATACACAAATTTTAATAAAACAATTTCCGATATATTTGGAACGTTTTGCTCTAATGGGTTCTAATTAGTTCAAGCTTTCTCTTTCGTGAGAGATTGTCATAATTTTGTGGATACTTACAACCTAATAAATTTTATGAAATTGACAATTTAAAGTGGTTATACATAATCATTAAATACTTGTAAAGATTACTAATGCATACTAAAAACTTATATTTTATTTTAGGATCTGCCAAACGCAATGAACGCAGCCGAAATCACCGACAAGCTCGGTTTGCACTCACTCAGAAACCGTAATTGGTACATACAGGCGACGTGTGCAACCAGCGGCGATGGTCTATATGAAGGTCTCGATTGGTTATCCAATCAGCTTAAGAATGCTAATCGCTAAATACACATACATATATAAATATAAATTAAAGAAAAATACATTTTTGATTTGAACATAAAGTTAATGAAAATTTGAATAAAAGAGAAACAAAAAGCGAAAATGAAAGCAAGAAAATCAACTGAAATCAAAATCCTACTGATCCCAATTCCCCTCATATCCAAACTGCAACAATATCAAGCAATTTAAGGCGGTTATCATTTGTTTAGCGGTTGTTGAAAACATTGAACGTAGTGATATAAAAGAAGACGATTTTAGAGAACGGAACATCAGAAGGACACAATATAAAACATGTAAAACCGCTATATAAAGAAACTATCCATTTTCAATTTGTACATGTATGTATGTTAATGACAACAATAACAAATCGCAAAACATAATGTGCATCCAAAAGTAAAGATGAGTTGTGAAGGAAGGGAAGAAACATCAACAAGGGACTACAAATACGGCATCCACTTCTAAGTATAATTTTAGTATTTCCTATCTTTTTTTTTATTAATTGTAATTTCATTTAATATTGCTTAAATTTAATTGAAACAGATTCAAAAAAAATATAAACGAAGGCAAAACACATACACATACAACACACATGCTCTTTATATACAAAAAAATATAATAAATAATAAATTGTAACGAAAAATGGAACGATCGCAAAATACATAGGTAAAAACAATGGCAACTTTAATAAGGTAATATAAAAGACGATGCGCTCGGCCTGTACTCCACCACTTTCTTTTGGCATGAGACAAGTGAACATTTTATTGGGTCGTATGAGAAGTCTCCGCGTATTTTTGACAAAGTTTTTGAAATAAAATTTCTTCATTGGAACTCAATTTTACATATTGGTCATTATTATCTATAAAGTATTGCCATTCTTCGGTTAGCCTTATAATTCCATCGGTGTAGAATTTCTATGTTTTATCGGCGAAAGACTTGGCCAGTGATTTTCAGCGGCTCATCGGTTGGTTTTTTTTTTATAATCAGAGGTTTGCAGACACCGAAACAAATGGAAGTGCGACGGTGCAAGGTGTAGGCTATACGGGAGATGCATGAAAGCTCCTCAACCATGTTCCGTCAATTAGTTCAGAGTAATCAAAGTGGCCTAGCAATAATATGATGGAAACAACTCCTTTTCTGTTGACCAATTCTGGTCGCTCTTTCTTGATTGAACCTGAATTATCTTCTGGAAATTTGATTTGTTGTCAGGTGTACATATGTATGGGAATCAACACCATATAGTGGCAAAAATCCGCAGAGCCTTTTTATATGACCCAATATTTATTATCTAAATACTAATTTTAAGTAAATAGAGATGACAGAATAAACGAGTGAATACAAAGTTACGGTTGCTTAAATACCCAGTAGATAATTTCTGGAGTTAAAAGCCCTTCTGAAAGGCCTTCCTGAGAGTCAAGAGGCCTTCCACTCTACATTCCTTTCTTTTTTGTATGGAGTGGCAAAAATTGAAGGGCTTCTTTCGCTACCCATGGAAGGCCTTCCAGAAGGGATTTTATAGGACATACTTCAGAAGGGCTTTTGGGGAGTTCTTTTAAAGTTGCTTCTTTAATTTATAAAAGTCATACATCTTTGAAGTATTTTTGCTTGCGGTTTATATCAAAGATGTGTTATTGCAACTCAAAATGCTTATTGAAATTAATTTGTAATGCTAAATAATATAAATGTATGCATTCGCGTAAAATGTAAATGGATAAGCCCTTCTAGAAGGCATGGAAGGAAGCACTGTTTTCAGCCCTTCTTGGGTAGGCATCTTAGAATGGCTTTACTTAAGAAGGCCTACCTAAATTATCTTCTGGGTAGCACTGGACCTTAAAGTTTTTGCTTAAGGCCTCAATCAAACCTATTTCAAACGTTAAAATTTAATGTGAAAACATTTAATTTTTTAACAACGCATTAAAGCTTTAAAATAAATTTCTTGAATAAATCAGGGACATAACAGTTATAAGTTTTATCGAAAACGATGTTCCATAACAGTTATAACATGAGAAATACTTTTTATTTCGCCGATAAGAGTTATAACCCAACGTTTATTTTTTACGTTGCCTGGTAACTGTTACGCAGGAGAAATATGTTTACCGTCGCCAATAAAAGTTATTCAACGTTTATTTTTTACTTTGCTCGATAGCAGTTATTACTCAACGTTTATTCTTACGTTGTCTGATAACAGTTATTTCACTCCCCTTCTTTTATTTTCATCATCTTTATCTTCTCCATTTCGTTTTCGTCAATATTCTCATCTTACAACGTTTATCAGACAACGTAAAAAATAAAAGTTGGGCAATAACTGTTATCAAGCAACGTAAAAAATAAACGTTGGGCAATAACTGTTATCAAGCAACGTAAAAAATAAATCTTGGGTCATAACTCTTATCGGCGTTATAAAAAATATTTTTCATCTGATAACTGTTATGAAACTACGTTTTCGTTAAATTTCAGAATTTGGACGTTTTTAATTTTTATATTCGAGATAACAGTTATTTTTGGTCCCTGGAATAAACCACTTGTGGTGGACATATGAACATATGTGGGCACCGAAATTCTTAAAATATATATTTACGATTTAATAATTTTTCTGCTCGCTTCAAGTTACTTCTGTTCGCTAAGCGAGGTATTGGTATACGGGTACCGCAACAAGGTTGTATCTGCTTAGTAATATGATAAAAAAGTGGTGAAAACAAATCGGTCCACGAATCGAGGCATTCGATATCAAACGTCGCTCGTATCGAAATTTAATTCGGGGTCACGGCATTCGATAGTGATAAAAAACATGATAAAAAAAATCCAAATGACGTTAAAAACGTCAACTTGGCAACGCTGGGTGAACCGGACACGAACGGTAAACCCGCCTTGACGGTTCCACACTAAGTGAAAAGTAGCTGAAAAAAATGTGTATACGTATAGGGCGTTTGAATGGATTTGTAACTTTGAGCTTCATGGCGAAATGAATAGAGAAGGTAGCGCTGATTGGTATACCTCTCTTCAAAATTTTAACATAAATATGATGCCTTAGGAGATTTTGTGTATTCGCTGTGTAATATACATATCGTTGGCTTAGTTCGTAAACGTGCTAAGTCCACTTTTTATGTAAATTGAGATTTTGATGCAGTAAGATTGCATAACTGAAAATACATCATTACCAAAAAATAAAATTACCGTAATGTCGTTTTTTACTTGTTGTTATGCATTGGTACGCAAATGTGCTAAGTCCAAAAAAAATCAAAATAATATATATACACGTCTGTCCGTGTACACGATAACTCGACATATCTCAACGAAATTTGGTATGTAGGTTGCCCTTTATCCAAGGTAAGTTGGTATTAAAAATGGGCGAATCTGAATGTAACCACGCCCATTTCCGATATAAAGGTATTTTCTAAAGATGCAAAAAGTACGTATTTCAGTAAATATTGGATGCAAATTGTTCAAAATTAGTATGTGAAGTAGAATTTTTGTAAAAAAATATTATTGTGCAATTTTTGGAAAATGGGCGTGACCCGTCCACCTATTATGAAATGCTGCATCTCAGTAGCCCATTCACCAAACTCGGTACGAGCCTTATTTAGGGTCTAGCTAAGAAATCTGTTGAAAATCTAATTCACTTAAAATCGATGATCGCGATAACCACTCAGCAGAAAATTAGATTATGATACATTTTTGGATAATGGGCATGGCGCCGCCCACTTGTGACCACAAATTTGTAACTCGGTAACCGATTTATCAATTTCTACCAAACTCTGTGCACTTAATAAACCTGGTACGGAAAAGCAATCGTTGAAAATTATTCAAATCGGACCAAAATTACATTCGCTTCCCGTGTATCTAACGGTAAATTTCAGATCTCTTACTCTCTTAACAATAAATAAGACTGCGTTACACCGCTCGTGGTTCAATTATTTCATTGAGTTTAACTCAGGATATTATCGAAAACGTTTGAAATCGGGGAAAAAGCCCCTGCTTACGACAGTATTTGATACCTGCGCCGGGTAGATAAAGTTCGGTTTCGCCCAAACTTTACCTCTTTACTTGCTTTTAATTATTTTCTTTTATAAAGGGTACATAAATTTACGACTTAAAATAGTTATTTTATTAGGTTATAATTCATTTTAAAACAATAAAATATATTTAAAGTAAACAATTAAATCTTTTAACAATAAAAAATAATGGAAAAAAAGGTTGATAGAAAATGTGCTAAGTCCACATTAAAAGAATAAAATCTTAAAGAGAAAATGTCGTAAGTCCTAAAAGAGCCTATAAGTCTGCAACAGCTTTATTTTGAAATTGGCCGATTATTGGTACTAAACCAAGACGAACTAAGGAATAAAACTGTATTTACAGATTAGAAAAATATTGACAACAAAAAAATTGAAAAATAAAAAAAAAATGGACTTGGCACGTTTTCGAACTAAGCCAACGATATAATATGCAAAACATATATATACTGATAGATCTCTCTCAGCTCTCTCCACCGGAAAATCTGAGATGATGTCATATTCATGTTATTCTAGCGAATTTAAGTCAGCTTTCAGACACGTCAAGTCTTGCTTTCAAGTCAACTCGTTCCAAGGGGAAGGAGGTGAGGAGAGAGAGAGGAAGAGTACAGGTACCTCCGTACCGTCGATTCGTTTTAACTTTTCTTGTCTCTTTGGATCTTTTTGTTGCTGCCCATTAAAAGAAGGTAGAACTTGAATTCAATAAAAGTTGACGCGTCTGGAAGCAAATAGAAAACACAAAAGAGAATGCGAAAAAATTGCTTTTAAGACTTGACGTGTCTGAAAGGGGACTAACCCCAGCTAGGGCACCTTTTCGTTGTTGCGGGAGCCTTGCCGCGGCACAGGGCTCTACCGCGGTCGACGACTGAGTTCCCATGCAAGAAATGTAGACCACTGTGCTTGCCTTGCCGAGCAGGTGGTCGTAAGACCAAGATGAATACAACTAAAAATACAAAAAAAACTACAACAACAACAAAACTACAAACCAAATACGGCATTAGGACATCCTGACGCAGGAGGAGCTAACCCTCTTCGTCGAACATGCGATGTCTGATCACGAGCCATCTACCAGCACTGGCATACATCGAAAACCTGCACCCCCTCGTGGAAAGCAACGTTCTCCCACCCCAAAAGGGGCGGAAGCAAAATCCGAGTCGGGACACAGATCCCGTGGGTCGTCGAAACGCCGCTCCAGGTCCAGGTCGAGCGAACAGGGGCATAAAGGGCCTAGCAAAAAGCATCGTCATTGCAGCTGCCGACACTACCGCCGTCAGGTAAACCAGGGGCGATTAACGACCATCGAAGGCATCGTAGTATCTTCGGTATCTAGACCAGAGGTGGCACGCACAAAGGCCCTCGAGCATATGGCTGCGCTAGAAGCAGAAGAAGAATGAAAAGAGCACCATCACGAAACCGCGACCGCTAAGTGGCGGAGAAGCGGGGAAACACAGCGGCAGTCGGGGAAGACAGCAGGTACCCGCTGTCTCGCGAAAAGAGCAACGCAGAACCGCGCCCGCTGAAAAGCGGAGAAGCGGGTCAATAAGTGACAGGCCGAACAAGGCACGAGATAACAACGTAGCTGAAACTGCGCCCGCTGTGAAGCGGGCAAATAACACCTGAGCCAGATCCCAAGACAAAACGCTATCGGTCACATCACAACCCGGCAGCACCAGGGCCGAGAGAGAAACAGGCTGACTCCGAGTCGGTGCCACCGCGGGACGGGAAGCTATTTTGATGCCCTTAAAGATATCAGAATGGCGGTTCTGCCTGTGAACTACCCTGCGGAGGTACTGAGAGCGGACTACCTGACTACCCTCCAAGACCCCATCAT